AAGTTACACTTTCTTTGTTTTTTGTCTGTGTGTGTGGGCATGTGCATTCCATGGAGCATAAGCAGAGGCTGCAGAGCTGTAGGGGCAGTTCTCTCCTTGCATCATTGGATTCCGAGGACTGAACTCAGATTGTCAGGCTTGGCTAATAAAGCACTCACTGTAGCCCCAGCTGGCCTGGAACTCACTACGTTGACCAGGCTGGCTTAGAACTCAGAGAGATCTGCCTGCTTCTGCCTCCCAGGTGCTGGGGTTAAAGGTGTGCCACCATACCCGTTCAGAACCATTTTTTAAGTCAGCTTTAAAACCCTTTTTAACTTGTTGCTCCCTCCATCCCCCTGGTTTGTCACCTTGGTGTGCATGTATACCTAGCATGTCTGACGAGCCCTCTGGAAGCTGTCTCAAGCTCCTCAGTCTCCTGCGTCATGGGTGGTGGTGGGGGCCAGACCGTAACTGGTGCAGGAAGTGCCCTCCCACTGAGCTCTGGCCCCGCCCTCCAGAGATGCCTTCCTGTTAAAAAATAGGTGTTCTTGGCTTTGGGGGATTGAGCCCAGGGTCAGCATATGCTAAGCCTGTACTCTGACACTGAGCTGCACCCCAACTGCTGTGTTTGCATTCAGTTAGCATTTTACATGTTCAAGTGTCTTCCTTCCCAGTCTCTCTAAACGCGTAATGCTCCTCTCCCGGTTCCGCAGCTCTTCACAGACGGGATCACGAATAAACTCATTGGCTGCTACGTGGGGGACGCCATGGAGGACGTGGTTCTGGTGAGGATTTACGGCAATAAGACGGAGCTGCTCGTGGACCGAGACGAGGAAGTGAAGAGCTTCCGCGTGCTGCAGGCTCACGGCTGTGCGCCGCAGCTCTACTGCACCTTCAACAACGGGCTGTGCTACGAGTTCATTCAGGGCGAAGCCTTGGACCCGCAGCACGTCTGCAAGCCGGCCATTTTCAGGTACCGTCCTTTGTAAAGTTTTCCTTTTGAAAAGGTGTATTGTATGCATTAAGGAAATACGTGCGCGTGTACGTACACGCACGGGCGCGTATGCTATGGCATGAGCGCGGAGGCCAGGGGATAGTTTGCAGGACTTGGTTCTCCTTCCATCGTGTGGGTCCTGAGGCTCAACCTGGTGTCTTTAGGCTTGTTGCTTGCGCCGATACCCACTGAGCCACCTCACTGACCCAGGAAACATCCGAAACAAGTGTCTTCTCTTTGTTGAGCAGCTTTGTCTTTGATCAGAAGCATTCTGTTAGTCTCCTGAATAAAAAGAAAGGCGGTTATATTTGTTCTCTTTCTTCACGCTGGGGAAGAGAACACTGCAGGTGGTTTGGGAATAACTGCTGGTGGTCGTCGAGGCTCAAGGCTTCCCGAGGCTTTCTTTTGAAACAGTCTCGTGTAGCTGAGGCTGGCCTTGGAGCTTTGTAGCCCAGGCAGGCCCTTCACTCTGGATCGCCCTGCCTACTGTCTTCTGAGTGTGGGACCTGGCTTCCCCCTTTTTAAGGGCTGTTTGAGTTGAGGCTGCACATTGCTTCCTGCCCAGGCTTAGGAGTTAATTGCTACTATTTTCAAAGTTCTTAAAATTTTATTTTCTGTTGTTTGTAATTTGAGTATTTTCTACAAAGAATAATCTCATGTATGCACAGTGATTTTTCTCAAATTGCCTCCAAGCATGTGCAGCGGCATGTATACCCCACGGTCACACACATGCACAACACACACTAATAATAAAATAAAAATGCCAACCCCCTGACAGTTTACTTTCTACACATTGACCAATCGTGAGTTTCTGTATTAACCTTTGTCCTCTACAAAGGTAAGTCCCCTCCCTGCTGAGCTCTGGCTCAATGGCTTGTTGCTGGCAGTGGTTGTTTTTCCAGATAGACTCTTGCTATTTCACTTGAGTGTCTCTTGAATTCAGCTCCAGCCTCAGCCTCCGGAGTAGCCAGTATCAGAGGCAGGTACCACCGTGTGTGGCTGTGTTTTATGTCAAAGTAATTGTGGGCTTTAATCTTGTGTATATTTATTTATAAATCTTCAGTTTTATTCATTATGCTTTGGATGTAACCTAGGAAACAGGATTAAAAATGAAAAAATGTGTAAGTTGGATCTAAGGAAAATTCCTCAGAAATAAGACAGTCTAGAAGATTGCTAGGAAATGTCCACACTAGCTGCCTTTGGATTAAAACTGAGAGGAAGAACTAGTTTTCAGAGTCTGTGGTCATAGCCCCTGCATCCTGCTTCCCCAGCTCTCCACTGAGAGGTAAGTCTGTCTGCAGAGACAGCCTATGTGTCTCCTTGCACACTTGGACTTTCACAATCAGAGATGGCAGGAGAGACATCGGGCTACTGAGGATTTGCTTCCAGCATGTGCGAGTTCCTGGCAGCCGTGTCATTCAGCCGCAGCCTGCATGGGAGGCCACAGTGCTCCGGCAGGAAAGCCACAGACTGCCGCTGCGACTCCCTGTGCTTTCCTGCTGGCTTCCCCGAAGCTCTTCAGGGAGAAGTGGATAGCTTCACTCTTCCTCTGACTCCTACTGAGATTGATCAAAGCAGGTCTAGGCAGCATCACATGACAGCGGCAGCATCTGGGCTCTGCTAGAGAAGACGAAGCTTTGTCCAAGGAGGACGGATGGAACCTGGGTCGCATCCAAAGGCAACATGGAGTTCACTGAGGAGTGCTTGACAAGAGAAAGTGACAGCAAGTAGACGTGGAGGGCCTGCTGCACTTGGACTGCACCGTCTGGTCTGTGTTGTCAGGGTTTTGACACAGTGGCAGAGTAGTTCAGGTCATGCTGTGCCTTTACAGTTGTGATCTCTGTGCTCAGACCCATGAGAGGGCTTGATTTGATTTGATTTTTTACTGAGTTTTTGTGTATTTCATAAC